ACAACTGTCAGCCTGTATACTTTGTTTTGTTCTGCTTATATTATGTGCCGACCTTTTCTTTTCATTTTTTTTTTAATGAACCTTGTCTTATATTCGGACCAATACGGTATATAGTTTGGAATTGTAGCCCTAGCAGGGGGTGGGGGTGCAAATACTTTGTGGGGGCTCTTCTAGCCATATTAGGGCAATGCATTGCCCCTGTTTCCACATGTAGATGAAGTTTCATTTACCAAGCTGTGTGATGATTTAAATATAGAAAAAAAAATATTGCTCACATTTTATTGCTTTTATTGTCAAATAAAAAAGTCAACCTTCTATTCGATTAGCCTACTTCAAGCATTCACACATATGAATCCCTCCAAAAGAAACACTCACCACTTTCAGTAGATTTTTTTTGCAAATTGTTGTTGTTTGTACAAAAGGACAATCCTGTGGAAGGTTACAAACTCAAGAAAAAAATCAAGGTGCATTAGTTTTGACAAGGTCATTTGTTTATACGATAGCTTTTCTTTTTCACTGAATGGATAACAAATTTGTCCAAGTTGCTGTTACGCTAAAATGAAAAGACTGGCAGTGAGGTAGAAAAACATAAAGATGTTTTGCCACAATTCAGGACAATCTGGAGTAAACATGTTTTTTTTTTCAGTAAAACTTAAAAATTTAGACATGATATAATTACAATAAACTTGATTATATGAGCAATTATATAGCATTGATAAAAGCTGTAAAATAAAAGAAAACATCTTTTGTATTAAGTTACTAACTTTAAAAATTCAGAATACTTGATGTGAATCTTTCTTCAGTCAGCATTTCAGAAAAGTATTTGTTTTTAATAACTTTATCTTCACAATATTGTCTCATAAGTCAGAAAACTGGGGTGACTATGATAATGATATGAATAGTTTTACACTTTGTTAAAAGCAAAGATTGAATAAGCCATATTTAAAAGACATACAGTATGTTCAAATTATAATGTTGACTAATGGAACAAAAAGACATTTCATCATTGTTAACTACATGCTATGAATTATACAATAAAGGTTATAATATTCTAGTCTTGGAATCTTCAGATTTTTTAAAAACTAAGTTCAATTTTTATGGAAAAAAAATATTTGTGTCAAATAACTTTACATAATTTTCTTTGCATTAAAAGCTTTTTCTTTACTTTAGTTGGAGGTGTGGTTAAGAATTATAATCTAATTAAGATAAAATAGAATAACAACTATGATCCTGTCTCACAATCACTGAGCTACCTAAATCCTTCATCCCGTGGACTGAGGTCAAACTTACCTTGCTAATCACAATCTAATTCCACTGACATCTACAAACAAAGGCGTCTGAGCTTTGAAAACCTCTTAATTAACTCTATCACTCAAAAGTTTGAAACTCGTTTGATTAGAAACTTCAAAAAATAGAGTTTAAATAATGAACTCCTTTATTAAAGTTCGTTTTTGCATTGAAGAACATGGACGAAGGAGTTTGGAATGAAACATGGACCTAACTAAAAGCCATTCGCGCAGTTAATCCATCATGTAGAAAAGAAGGAACAAAGAATGGAAGTTCTCATCACTGCCCTCAGGTTTTGGTTTAAACAAAATCGAAATCATCATACTTCAGTTTGATTCCTTCTGATAACACTACCACGAATTGTGAAGGGGCAAGGTGTCGGTGACTTCAGCTGCTGCAGCATAACTCTCATGTCTGAACATGCCGAGGGCTACAATTTGTTCTGCTCCACAAAGTGGGTCTCTGCTGAGCTAGAACAGGTTGTAATTAATCTCTAGTGTGCTAACAAGGAGAGGCCAACTACTGCAAACAGACTGGGGTACTCCTGCAGATGGTCAAAGCTCAAGGTGGGAAGTGGTTTAGTCATATTTTCATTTGATACTAGATTGCACAAATATCATTTAGAAAAGATTTTATTGTAAAAGCTTTGGATAATGTTTGACACTGTTCTCTATTGAGAACATGCCTGATATGTACAAATATTAATCTTCACTGTTAACATTCAAAAGTCATTATGAATTGTAAAAATCAAAAACATGCATTGGCTGGTTATAAGAAATAAAACATATTAATGTTGGGAGATATGTAAGAATTTTCCCACCGGACGATGTATTTGTGCAGTTGACTTTGTGGGCAAAGACAAGCACCCCTTCAGAGCACGTCTTCTGCACCGCTGATAATATTGTTAACCACCTGCCCACACTGCAAAACCCAATAAGGTGAAAATGCTTCTTTTTTTTTGTCAGAAATGCATAAGTTTCATCCTGTTGGAATAGTTTCCTCTTTTCCAGTAGTTCTGACTATGTTATGAAACATTGCATTTTTTTTTTACGTTATTCATTTGTTGATCTGAATTTTTTTATTATTTTTTTTTATTGAAAGAGCATAGCTTTCCATCAAGGTAAGAATTTTTCTCCTTAATTTTTTTCTGTTTTTTTATTTTGTATTTGTTGTGTTAAAATCAAATCTGTAACAGTAAACACACATAAACACTCTCTTGTTCAGCGGTATAAGTAAAAAAAAACAGCTAGTCTCTGATTTGGATCACTTCTTTCTTTCTGTCTCAAGTTCAAATAGATAAATCGGTGCTACACAGTTGCACTGGAAAAAAAGCTGCAGTTGGAAGGAGTTTGTATACCATTAGAAACATCATTAGGTTTTTTGTTTTTTCTTGGGCTGCATCTTTACCTAGTTAAAAGGCTGAGTCTACCGTCGGTGGCTGATAGATGCGTTCATTCGTCCAACTTTAAAACGTTGTTTTTAAAAGTCTCAAATCCAAAAGTCTCAGACATCCTATAAGAATGTTCTTATAGTTTTAAATGGATTTTAATGAGATGCCATTAGCTCTATACCTTTTGTTTTCCACTGGCATAAAGAAGCCACGCCACATGCTGCACTTTGCTTAAGCTACTGCATCCAAGTAAAAAGAATCAGGTATTTAATGTGTATGGGAGGAAATTACAGCAGGCTGACAATTTTTAAGTAATCACTGTGCAGTGGTGAGCATTGTCTGCACCCCATCCATGTGGTATGGCAGCTGCACTGCTGCTGAGAGGATTCCTATGCAGAGGGTGGTTTAAGATTGGTTTATGTTTGAAGCGTCCGGGAGGTCCAAGTGGACATATTATGTCATCTTGGGCTTCCACCTCCTTGCGGACACAATAGGTGTATTCGATTTTAGAGGCTGCATCCTCCAAGGAACAGGTCCAGGTAGACCAGGTCCTTGAAGGTCTGTGAAAATAAGGAGGCTGAAAGAGTTTTGGCTATGGATTCAAACATGTCGAGCCTTCTCCAGCTTTCACCACCCAAACTCTCTGTCACTTAGTAACCATGACAGTTGACACACAAAGCAGGCAAAGAATGGATACCAAACTTCTCACTACTGTTCTGGGTGCTAATAACAGGATACAGCCCCTGAAATCGAACTCAGCAAATTTCTGCATTGAGCACCTAAGAAAATTTATGACTACGCTGGGAAAACATGGTGAGCTAGCAGCAGCCTCTGCTGGTGAGGGGTCGCCAATATAAACATCGAGAGACATCCCGTGATCTAGGTCAGAATTTTCACCACTATCAACGCTTTGTGGAAAGAAATGACCGTCAGTCTTGAACAGTATGAAGAGGCTTTGATAAAGTTGTAAATGACTTTGCTTTCTACTGCCTCGTGTAGTCTGTTGCTAGCTTGCTATTGCTAAACACGGCCCCTGGAGCTTGCATGAACAGGGAGAAAGCCGCACAGAGTATAAATCCTGCAGAAGCTGTGACGGGCCGCTCATTTTCTGCTCGGCCTGTCCGTGCGTCATGCATAATGAGCCCTTAAGGCTGCACAGAGGACTGTAAGAAGCAGCCATCCCTCAACCTCGAACCTCTACACATCAAGACATGATGACCGGATGTTCTCTTTTTCCTGGACATGTCCTACTATTCATACCTAAAAAAAATGTCCATGGGGCATTTCAAAATCTTCCGGGACTTTGGTCGACTACAGTGCAGCACGTAGTCTAAAACACACCGTGCACTCAATCCGTCAGCCCCCCCCAAAAAAGTGTCCCCCTTTTCAGAAACCCTACATCAATATGAAGGAGTAAGATACTCTGCATAATAAAAGACTCCACCCATCCTGCACACAGACTGTTCCAGCCCCTCCCTTCAGGCAGGTGGCTGAGGAGCGTCCAGAGCAAAACCACCAGGCTCAGAAACAGTTTCTCCTCTTGCTAGACTGCTAAACTCAAGCTGCACTTAATTCATCCACCAATTTTTATTTTTATTTTTTCTTAAATACTATCCTCATTGAACTGGGACTTTAGTCCAAAATTCATACCAAATCATACAAATGTGAGATGTTATGATAATAAAACATTGAATCCTTAAAACATTCAAGAACTTCCCTTGATACAATTCATATCCTGTACCATAAAGTACTAATTAGGGGATGCAAGACATTTTCTTTAAGTGAAGATAATACTATTAGACTCATTTATGCTTGCCTGTATGATTTTATTTAAATACTATAAAACAGTGGTGTCTTAACTCTTAATTATTGTATCCTGAGAATGTCTAACTTACCCGAGGGTTGCAGCAGTTATAGACTTTCAACAAACAGCTAGTGCCTAATCCAGGATATAATTATACAGTATTGACCCTTTGATTCCTTTCTCAGAAGCAACAGATGCAAGCCACCTGAAAACTATAGTGACCATTATATTACACATTTCTAATCACCAAAATAATTTGATAAAACAAAAACAAAACAACTTGGACTTGTCATAAGGTAAAAACTTTGAAAATGACTTCATTGTTTATTTTTTCATTCCAAGAGCAGTGAACATGAGTGACAGTAATGTTGATGTTACAGCAATTTGATCATTTATAACAGCAAATCATTTATAACTGTCACAAAAAAAGTGTAGAAAGAATATGCAATATTTGCTTTGGAAAATAACTGCAGAGAAATAATGTCCAGTCATAGAGGGGGGAATGTGGAAGGTACTCACCAGATTGAGCACCGTTTCCACGATATCTCGGTTGGAAACCTCGCCGACCTGAATGAGTCCAATGAGAACAGCAAATTTCATCTTGATATTCCGGATGGGAACCGCAGGGTTGATCATTCCACCCGGTAAAAGCACTGAACCTGAGCCGGACATGATCAGGCGCTTCTCGGTGGCAGCAGAGGAGAGCGCAGCTCCGCGCTGTCCGTGACCTGGAGGAGGCTGACGGTCCGAGCCGCGCATTGGCACCGGGTTCTCGCTTGGCATCTCCATGCAAACCCAGAGGTTGCAAAAAAGACTGATCTGATCAGAGCTTTCTTAGTGGTACTTAATTACCCTGCTGCAATAAAGCGTTAAAGAAAAAAAAAAAAGAGAGAGAGAGGGATAGACTTAACAGACTTAAGAAAAAATGGGGGAAAAACAGAAGCAAAACCCCAAAAGAGGCATCTTTCTCCGAGAAGAAATCAAATGTGGAGAGTTCGGCTGTGGTTTTGTTTTTTGTTGGTAGCAGCAGGTTAAGCGAGCTGACTGACCTGCGCTGTGAACACAAAGCTGTGTGACTATGTGCGGCTCTTTTGGATTCTCCGCAGCTGCTGCCATGTTGGCGCCCCCTGGCGGTTCAGCACAATCACTGGGTGCTCCATGGAGCGCATCCGAACAGCTCCAGAACTGGAGCAGAGAAGATACAATTAGAGAAGCATTTATAGCTATACTATAACTTTACTGAATAATAACCCTAGGTTCAGGGGCGTAGCCAGAAAATTTTTATAAGGGTGGCCTGGCAGTAGCCAATGTACTCTGAGGGGTGGCCGAAAGTGGGTCAGCGCCAGAGCCTCAGGGTCAATCTACACTGTTCCAACAGGAAAATTAATGAGCAAAAAATCCATATTTTCTACATAAAGACAACCTATACTTTCCTACAGCCTTTGCTTACAAAAATATATTTAAGCATCTGTGCTTTCTAAACAAACAGTATAGTGGATAAAATTCTTTCACTTTGGAGTTCTGGGGTGTAAATCTTTTCCAGTGTGATTAGTTACCGATTTGTATTAATAAACATTCTGCATAAATTTGATAGTTGCAAGTACTAATGTCTGCATAAATTAATTATTTTATAAATTTTTATTAAAATTGTTATTTATCTATGACTTCACTGAAGACTCCTAGATGACTTGCAGAGACACGTTTTCTCTTTACCCTATATAACACAAAATCTTGTTCTGAAAAGAGCATAAGTTCCGTACTTATCATCTTTGATGTACTTATCATCTTTGAAAATTAAAATGATTTGAATATTCCACGTGGTAGTATTACTGCTGTCACTATCTGTATTAGAGGGAGTAAAAATGGTAGGGGTGGCCACAGGGATAGCTAATGATTGGCTATGGGTGGCCATGGCCACCCCTGGCCCCCCATCTAGCTCTGCCCCTGCCTGGGTTTGATTTAAATTAGGCATTTTGGATTACATTTTTAGAACATGTGAAAAATTGATAGCTTCCTAATAATATAAAAAATAAAAAATAAAGATCAAAATTATCTTGGTGCAGGTAACGCCTCTGCTTTTCGAAAATTTCTTCATTAGATGGTTGAAATTTGAATGATGTTTGATACTTAAACTAGTGTTCATAACTTTTTTTTACTGACCTGCACATGTTTACTTCAACACGCTCATCTGATCTATCTGAGGGTTTAAAACAGGGATCGGCATCCCTAAAAGGTCTGTCTGAGAAAAGGTTAGTTAAAGCTGCACATTTTAACATTTTAATTAAATAGCTTATTATATATTTTTTTTAGTTTTCAGTGATTTTTTTTTATCTGATAGGGGAAACCTGTTGCTTTTTCAAACAACCAGCAGTTTATATGCCATTTTAGCTTTTACCATAAGGAAAAAAATAAAACGTTTCATAAAGATGAACCATGGATTTTTTTTCCCCATAGGATATCATCTGATATTAAAAAGAAGTTCCATGCTAATGATAAGAAACTCTGGATCGAAAGACATACTGCATCTCAGTTTTCTTTGTCTGTCTGTCCTAAAAATTCAATTACATAGTCTTAGAAATAAAACAAAACAAAAACTACGGGTAGTATTCCTTAACATACTACATTAGTTGCTATTTTAATAATGTTTCCAATTCTAAGAATCATAGCAGTTACAAAAAGCCACTTGAGGTTCCAGAGCTGCAGGACGCAGACATCTGGTTTAAAAGAACTGTATTCATAAGATTACTCCTTTGTAGCTATGAATTTCATTTTGGGGAACAAGGATAAGGGAGGCTTAACACAAATGCAACAAGTTTTTGGTATTTATTTGTTAAATGGTCTGAAACATTGCATCCCTCTCCATACATTTCAAAAAAGCATATGATTTTAGATCTGTCTATCACATAAAATCCCAATAAAAACATATGGGACCTCTATCGATCTGCAGCTATGCAGACTGTTAGCATATTAAATGAAAAGTGATGCATTTTAGTGCATTACACTTGTAACCTCATTATTACGCAAATCAAACTATAAACTTTATGTATTTTAAACAAATGCACTCATTAGTATTAATTTTAAGTAAGAATACTTTATTAATTCCAAATACCTGACAACTTTGTATTTTTTTTTTTATAAATAAGCTACAGTATATACAAATTTTACACAATGTACATTCATTAATATTTAATGAATGTGCCTTATGTAAGGTTTATTTAATAGGTTTGTGTTATAATTGTCTAAAAAATTGGAAGTTTATGTAATGAAATTACACAAAACTTTAAATTTTGGGTGAATATATCTGTAAGTGTATCACAGTGGAACCTGTAGTTACACTTTAAAGTAATTGATCATTTGGACCAGATCACATAGGGCTGCTTTAAATTTTCCCATCCGCTTTAAAGTAAAACACATTGCTCCGTTAACACAGTTATAAAACTAAAATATATTGTTGTTTTTATTATCATTTAATGCCACGTTATTAAGCTGACCTTTGTGTTTAGAAGAGAAAGTTGTTTTCAAGAATTTAAGATTTACCATTTTTCAGCAAAGTAATGCAAAGAACATTAATTTCAGGTAATTTAACTAACTTATTATAGATTATATTTACTAGAGAAAACAGGGTTGAGGTCTAACGAAATGGAATTTGAATACATTACTAAACTTCATGCTACATTTGATTATTGATAAAAAACAATATCTGATCATCATTGGAAAATTAAAAAGGAAACAATTTAATTCTCTGACGTATAAGTTTTGATCATTGTTCCATTTATAACAACTTTTCCAAGATTAGATGTTTCTTGATGTTGTTTGGCTTTCCACCTAAAACATGCAAAGATCACCATCAGTTATTTAGAATCAAAAATTACATCAAAATTTTTTAATTAAAAAAAACCCTTTTCGACCTAAAATATTAAAATTATTAAATATAATAGTCATGCATACTTCTCCATTAATAACAGATTTATTACTCATACAATAAGTGTTTGGTGTGTTTCAGTCAAATGACCAGCAGAGGTCCTCCTAAGTCTGGAGCTGAGGTAATTTCTTTAGTCTTAGAAGTTAATTTGTTGGAATTTTGTTTCTCACACTGTTAAGATAGTATTCAGCTCTACCAAATGTATTATTTCATTGGCATGCCTGCCAAAGCTTTCACAGGTCAACACAGTGAACAAAAAATATATACATCATATAGAATGTATATGCAGGCTTCAAGCTAAAAATTATTTAACCCTTTTAAAGGCAATACAGCCTCCAGAAACATTCTCCTTTCACCTATTTTGGGTTCAGATTTTTAGTTACCTATAGATTTAAAGGCACTATTAAAGGTTATGAAACATTATATTGAAAAAATATTGAAAAATCTTGCATCTGCAGTAGCAAGATTCAGAGAAAAAACCCACAAATATTTCATAATAAAGGTAGTTTATTTAAACAAAGAAAAAAAAACAAGACTGTGTCTTGTGTCTGACCGTATAAGTCAGTACCATAAAGCAGGTGTGAACAAGTCAAACCTTCAGTCATTATTTTCCACAACTATTGGAGGTCAGCATGTGATAAAATTACACATATTCAAAAATGTCATTACATGACAAAGGTAAAACCAGCTTACAATCTTGTACCATGTGAATTAAAAGAAGGCTGACCATGTAAGAATCAATATGCATGAAATTAACATAAGAATATACTATTTACCTGTTTTCATATGTACAGAATTTACAATCTGTCTTTATTTACAGAATATAATAATATACACTAATACACAAACACGTGTGTGTAAAAAATTACATTATATTTAAACCGGAACTGATTAATGTATGCTTCTCAGAAGCCTTCAAGAGGTTGAATGTCCTGGACATTGTAAATAATAGCAATAATAACAATTACACATATTATTGAAATAATATTAATTAATTCATGAAATGCAGGTAAAATAAAATTAAGACATGAAAGCCTAGACAATATAAATAATTTCTAAATGAGTTATGCTTAGCACCTAAAAATAACCTCCTGTGCAAGTGGAAAGACTTGAACTGTTTTCAGAGATCTTTTACCAATGCAAATGTGCTTTTGTTTAAGGACGCTGACCTCATCTCTCTGCTTACATGTTAGGCTTTTAGCAATATTTCGACAGTTCAGTCCAGATCTCTAGATTCACTTGACATAACACTGTCAGATTTTGGTTTCAGGTCCATCTGTGATCAGTGGTTGAAAGGAGTTGCGGATTCTTGCAGCCTCTGCAGCACAAAGATGACCAAATGCTTTGTTGTACCAATCTGGAGTTCTTCCCCTGTAATGAAAACCATAGTATTAATAAAAACATGCATGTTAGAGAGAGAAAAAAAAAAAACAAGTACAGCTTATGCTTTAAAATCCTCAAAATCCTATGTGAGATTCAGAATTACTTTAAGTCCACTCTGCAGATATGAGTTAGCCGTGACTTTCCAGAGCCGCAGGGTTCCAGAAGGTAGTTTGACTCTAGGATCATAGCTCGAACTCCTCCTATTAGAGAGCAGTCGTCATGCTCTATGGATACAGAAACCAATGAACAAGCTCCCTTTGGCAAGTCTGTCCTCCAAGACCTTTGCAGAAAATAGAAAACAGAGTAGGAGCAGAAAAAAGGTATTAAAGTCTCTTTAAATAAAATATCGTGTTTTTTTTTTTTCTTTTTCTTTTTAGTTTTACAAACCTGAGAACTACAAAGTCCCTGCTGGGATGAGGGGGCATACGGCTGAGGACATACTGAAACACCTCTGTTTGTTTATCAAGAGTCTCACACACTTTCCACTGAATCAGGTCCATGTCCCACATGTGGCGTTCCCTCAGTACGCGGTTTAACACCACCGATGGTGGTGCTTCCACTTCCACAGACACTCTCCAACGTCTTAAAGGGTTTCCATCCCCCACCTAAAAAAAAAGAGCAATTAACACATTAACTTAAAATTGTTCTGGAGATTTTGTTAAGGCAACCACTGCATTTGGAGTGTCTAAATTTCCAT